TATCCCCCTTTCCTTTCTTTCGGTGTCCAGTTTCCATAAGCACAACGAACAGGGAATCGAAATCGGAGTCCAACACAAACAAATCACATTTACGCGCGCATCTCATTGCCAAACTACGCGAATCGTTGCGTGTGTTCGACAGTAGTACAACTGCCGATGCCTTGGCTCACTCATTCTTTGCACGTTTGAACAATCGGCATAACTGGATTCGTAAGGCTGTTCGTCAGGTGAGCACACCTTTTCATTTCCCATCCGCCGCAAATTTTAATTATTGTGCTCTTACTGGCTCAATATGCGAGCCTTTCATATTTCACTATCCCATTTTTTCATAAATGCTATATCCGGGGTTGATATAAATGTCTTTCGCTCACTATGTGGTTAGCACTTGTACCTTAGGCTCCAATGGTTCGCACAGGTTTTGGGTATTCCTTTATATATGTCGACTCCTGCGCTGACCTTTGTTTTCTTTCTGTGGACAAAGATTTAATAATCATTCCATAATTTGGTTCTATGGAACGAAAATTTTTGCGTTGATACAAATGTTCATCGGCTCAATTGAATTCTGGGTAATAGTAAATTTCACTTAGGATACACTTCTAAGTGGGGAACAGCGGCGTGATAGCCATCGTCTTCCACGATTAGTTTCCACATGATAACAGGACTACTATTGAGGTGAAAAATCGTTCGTCATTCTTTCTAGTATTACTCAATCCTTCTTAAGGAGGTGCAATTTAGGTTAGAAACTACGGTAGTACTGTTGGTACCCACTAAAACAACATTTCTGATGGCTTATCAGCAAAAAATTCTTAAAATTCCCACAATTGGTTCAATCTTACACAGACACATATATATATATATATATATATATATATATATATATAAATGTATATATACCAATGAAGATTGTACAAGGGTTACAGATGCATCCTCAAAAGCCTTGCCTAACTGAGGATGCCAATATGTACTACATTTCCAAGGATTTTTTAGCTTCCTCATCTAGCCGACTTATCCAATCACAGGAGAAAATCACCTGCGAGAAAAATTTGTTTACGACACAAAAATATCATTTCTCTTATTCTCCTAATATTACGTTTTCATGCTTCTAATGATCTGAGTTGCTTGACTGTTGGTTCAGAGAATAAATCACCCGTACCCATCATATTTTTTTCGATTGCTCCCTCCTAAACATTTAGTGCCTCTACCTGCTGACTGAATCGGACGTAAACACTACGGTCAGGAATCAGGATTCAGTTTTTGATTGGCTAAATGTGTTGCACACGCTTCAACAATTACCTGTTCTACGCGCCCAGCCTGCAACTGGTGCCCATGGTGATATGGTCACCGAGTCTGCACAGCATTTATTATCAGCTTTACTGGATTCGCTCCTGGTCGAAACAGATTTGGATATTCTGGCCGGAAGTTTGTTGTTTCTCAGTCACGTCACACGGTCGTCTTCGTTTGTGGTAAGGATTATCCTGTTCCTG